TTAAATCTTTAGTCAGCATTTGTTTTGCATGTAAGTGCTTGTTTTTAATATGTTGTCTTTGTAAGATGCTTATTTATGTGAGATCTTCTTTATTCCTTGTTGCAGCTTTAACCAGTGCTGCCAGGCTGATGGGTTGTGCTCCAGATGAACTAATACAAACTATATCTACCCATAGAATCCGAGTTGGCAGGGATAGTATTTGTAAAAAATTGACATTGCAACAGGTTTGTGCAGTTTTGGTTAACAAAAATATTCTTTCTCAATCCTCTCATAAGTCACATTCTATATTGCTGTTATGGATACATTGGCAGCATGATAACACATTAGTTAATTTGTAATATAGGCTATTGATACAAGAGATGCATTGGCAAAATTCATATATGCAAGCTTGTTTGACTGGCTTGTGGAACAAATTAACAAGTCACTTGAAGGGGGTAAAAAACACATTGGCAGGTCCATAAGCATCCTTGATATTTATGGGTTTGAGTCATTTAAGGTAAGTAGTTTTGGATTCGGTGTCTAGAAATCATCATTGTGAATTTTCAGTTTGTTCAACTGATAATTTTCTCATCTGATTTTCAGAAGAATAGCTTTGAGCAGCTTTGTGTAAATTATGCATATGAGAGGTTGCAACAACACTTCATCCGGCACCTATTGAAGCTTGAGCAAGAGGTAAGCAACTCAAATCTTTTAATTTCCAGAGTTTCTGACTTCTGTACAGTTTCTGTATAATGAGCTGGGATTCTAGTACTATGCTCTCATTTTACTGGACATATAAATTATCTTCATACCAAAAGTTCTATATAATCTGGTTATCACTTGTTTATTCTTATTCTGGATTTGGTTTCCATTATCAGAAATTTCAATTTTGACCAACTTCCAATTGTTAAGAGTTTCTTTTTCATATTTCAGGAGTATGAGCTGGATGGGATTGATTGGACCAAAGTTGATTTTGAAGACAACCAAGAGTGCTTGGACTTATTTGAGAAGGTAATTTGAAGGTTCAATGGTTTCTTTGTCTGCAAGGTTTATTTGGTGTTCATTGGATTGTTTTAAGGATTTCTGGATTCTGTTGTTTATATTGTGTAACATGTGGTTCTTGTGTATTCCATAGTTTTTCTTCTAAGATAGTAGATAGAAATTGAGCTTGGTATCAAGTAAGTTGTCTTAGCTTTGGTGCTAATTCTGGCTGAAGTTTTTATTTTCTTTTCATATCTCGTTTTATTTGAAACCAAATTGTTCCTTGGTAATCCCTCATTCTTCCTTTTTGGTGTTTATTTTGCAGAAGCCCCTAGGGCTACTTTCCTTATTGGATGAGGAATCAAATTTACCCAATTCAACTGATTTTACCCTTGCTAATAAGTTGAGGCAGCACCTGAATTCTAATTCTTACTTCAGAGGAGATAGAGGCAGGGCCTTTTGTGTTCGACATTTTGCGGGAGAGGTCAGTTATTGGTCTTTTGAGGACAGTAAGAAATTCTATTTAAGATTTTTCCTTTCATTGAATATCAAAGGAAAATAATCAAGAAAGTGGGTAATATTCAAGAATTTTTTGTAAGTTGATTCAAATGGCATTGTAAACTAATAGGCAATGCACAATTCTTATATGATTATTTATTTTACAAGTTCTTCCAGGTGCTGTATGACACTAATTGCTTTTTGGATAAGAACCGAGATGCATTGAACCATGAGGTAGTCCAACTTATATCATCCTGTAATGGCCAGTTGGCACAATTATCTGCCAAAAAATTGCTTAATCAATCTCTGGAACCAGCAATTTCATCGGATGCTCCAAAGGCAACTGTTGGGGCAAAATTCAAGGTAAATTTGCTTTCTCAGTAATTGTGATCCAAATGTATCCATGATTTTAATATAATTCGAACTGATCAGAAAGACTACAAAGTTTTTTAAGGTATCCATTCTTTATTTGAAATTAAAGCAGTCACGCTGCTGACAAAGGTACTCTCAGTCTCATTTTCCCTGCATCATGTCATGCATCGTCATTTCTCACAAGTTGGTATCGTTCTATCTGGGCATCCAATGGTCCTTCAAAGTTGTCACTCAAAGCCCAAAGGTATGCCTTCTGAGGTTTGAAACCAGGACCTCTTACATATAGGAGTCCTTTTCACATCAATGGTGCCATTTGATGTTGGTACTGGAGTTATGAAATGGACTCTCATATAGAGAGGCCCTGGGTTTGAGCTTAGGGGTGCACACATCCAGGTGGCAACCTTAAGGGTCCTGTAGGAACCCAAAGAGGACAGTACAGCTTGTGGACATCATAATGAGAGTACCCGGTCGATCTGAGGGTCTGGCAATGTGGCATATCTAATAGTCTTAGGGGTATTGTATTTACTGCACGCTGGCATGCTCCGTAAATGAAACGGTTTCTTCCATACTTGCAGGGCCAGCTCTTCAAATTAATGCACCAGTTGGAGAATGCAAGACCTCACTTTATTTGCTGCATCAAACCAAACTCCAAGCAACTCCCTGGTAAGTTTGAAGAGGATCTTGTCTTACAGCAGCTTAGATGTCATGGAATTTTGGAGGTTATCAGAGTCTCGAGATCTGGATATCCTACTAGAATGAGACATCAGGCATTTGCAGAAAGGTTGAAAATAAACCCTCCTTTAGTTTTAGTGTTTTTCTTTATTATTTTCAGCATATTTCTCATATATTTGTGCATTTCTTAGGTATGGGTTTCTATTGTTGGAGGCCAATGTATCTCAGGACCCATTGAGTATTTCAGTTGCCCTTCTAAAACAATTTAATGTCCTTCCTCAAATGTATCAAATCGGCTATACCAAACTGTTTCTTCGAACTGGGCAGGTAGTTTCTGTGCTGTCTTGCTTTGAATGTTTCTTAGAGTTGGACCAAGTTAACATACCGAGTTCTAGAAAATATAGCTACAAACTTATTTCATTTCTGTTTATGGTTAATATTAAGTTATAATTTCTTTGATGATGTTATGTCTGGCTGGCTTGCAGATTAGTTCATTGGAGGATAGGAGAAAACAGGTATTGCGAGGAATAATTGGGGTTCAGAAATACTTCCGAGGTCACTGTGCTCGTCGCCTTTTCCAGGAGCTCAACAAAGGAGCAAAAAGTATACAATCATGTAAATTCTTCCAAGCAAAACTCATTTCTTATTGATTTTTTTTCCCAATATTGAGACATTGTTTTTTTTTTTTGATTTTTTGTTGTCTTATTTGGTCATACGTATACATTTTTTCTTACATTCAGGCTATCTTTCTGCAGGAAATTTTAGACTGTATTCTTTAGGCATCTTTATCTTCAAAGTGCCTTTTTACATCATAGGCACCTATATTTTGCCAATTCACATTTTCAGGTTACTTGTTTATCAATTGACGGATGTTTCCCTTATGATTCAGTTGTCTTTGGTGAAAATATACGAAGGAAGTACACTATAGAGGCAAATAGGTGCTCGGCATTTGCTTCTCAATTAATTGATGAGCAGTTAATGGCAGTCATATATTTACAATCTGGTAAATATATGTGCTATCTAATTTTTTTTTTTTTGGCTTTCCGTTGTTTTCAGTTCCTTATCCTTATCACTGTTTTTTCTTTCCAATGCAGTAATCCGTGGGTGGTTGGCCCGTAGGCATTTCAAAAACATGCATTATTTGAAACAGTCGAACCGTGAAAGCATGAAGTCTAGACGAAAGATGGGTAGGAAGATGTCTGAAGCAAAGGTATTGTCTACTAATGCTAAGAGTGTTTTCTAAAGCATGCCTCTAAGCATGTTATACTTTCTTAACTGTCTGTAATCTGTTGAAGTCTGAAAGACTTAAAAGTATGACCCCCTTTTTTTCGGCTGACCAGGAGATACCCCATGAGCAACAGATTCAAGTTCTACCTTCTGTAATGGCAGAGCTTAAAAGAAGGGTTCTCAAGGCAGAAGAGACTTCGAGGCAAAAAGAACAAGAAAATGCCACGTTACTAGAACAACTACAAAAGTCTGAGGCAAGGTGGTTGGACTACGAGGCAAAGATGAAAACAATGGAGGAGATGTGGCAAAAGCAAATGGCATCACTACAAGTGAGTTTGTGTTTTTATATATTAATATTAATTTTTTTTTTTTTTGCATTTGAGTAATTGTTGTTGGCCAACACGAAAGTTCTTGATAATCATCGAAGTAACTGCGAAATTAATGTGATCCTGATGATTGCAGTTAATCATGTAAACTGACTTAAAATAATTGGCGGGTTGTAAACTTTATATGGGAGATAATAGAACAGCTTTGTCGAATCTTTCCTTGTTGATTTTTTGGCTTGTCTATGATTTAATTCATCAATCTCTTATAACGTTATCGAAAAATATAATAATACTAACTTTGATCATTGGTTCCAACTGCATTTATTTCAGAGAAGTCTTACTGCTGCCAGAAAGAGTCTTGCTGCTAACAGTGCTGCTGGTCAGCCAGGAAGAGTTGATGTGCTATCTCCTCGATGCTATGATTCTCAAGATAACGTGTCCATGGGATCTCGAACTACTGGTGGGAACACACCCATCTTATTTTCTAATGCTATGCCTGATGTTGTTGGGGGTAGAGAGAATGGTTCTTTGAATGAACTGGGCAATCTGTTAAAGGAATTTGAGCAGAGGAAACAAACTTTTGATGCCGATGCTAAATCTTTGATTGACATCAAAATGCCTCAGCCAGGTTCTAATACGAATGATGAACTTCGGAGATTAAAATGCCGGTTCAAGACCTGGAAGAAAGATTACAAGCTGAGATTAAAGGAAACGAAGGCAAGACTGCATAAGCGTGGGCATCCCGAATCAGATAAAGCTCGAAGAAAATGGTGGGGAAAGCTAGGTTCAAAGGCATAACAAAATCCCCGGTCTGAAATGATCATCTCCCTCCTTCCATTCTTGGGGTACAATTTCTTTACATTTGTGGAAACAAATATATCTATAGTCCATGAACAGTGAGGAGACATTGTATTTGTATGTATCTACCAATTTTTTTTTTTACTTTGGTGGAAGAGATCATCATATGTGCATAAGACAAACAGGGATTTGTTGAGGCTGCCTTGTTTGAATAGTTTGGTTTAGTTTGTGTATAATTCTGGGTTGTTGGTGATGTAAGATGTTTATAATTTTGTTTGAATGTTTGTAAAGATTGATGCCTTCCCCAACACCAGGGAGACCGTTGATGTGAAATCCTTCGATGAGCCCCATCAGGATGACTTGGAATCCAAGGACGGCGAGGATGCTTTGAGCATGGACGAGGTTTGGGTTGCCCAAGTAATCCATTCCACCTTCCGAAAAGATTTGAGCTCCTGCCTTGAACCATACTGGTTCCTTTAAATCGACCCGAACCCATTTCTGGAGCACTTCTGGTGTGATGCAGCCTAATGCTCCCAACATTGCCCATCTCCCATGGATTACCAAAATGTCAAATTTTCGAGACAAAGAAATTAACAATGTTGAAGAAAGAGAAAATACCTCAAGAGCCCTGTTCCGGGCAAAGGCCTCAGGATCAGCAGACAAACCAGCAATGTCCCAACCATAGTCACCAGGGAACTCACGGGTCAAGTAAGATGGAGTCTGAGCTGAAAAGGGTTCCAAATACTTCACTCTGTCTGGTCCATACCACAGTTCATTTCTCTACACATATTACACCTTCAATATCAGAAACCAAAAATGAACAATCCTACCTTGAGGTCTTCAGTTCATTGTCAATTGGCTATGAAATTTCTAAATAGACACTGCATTGTAATCGTCTGACTAATAAAAAGAACAAATCTAAGAAAATTCAAAGAAGAAACAAAGGAACAGACCATGGTATATTTGGGAGTGCATATAGGAACAGCGTCTCTAAGAGGGTTAGCATTTTTGGTCTGGCCGAGAAATGTGGTTGGCCTAAGAACAGTTCCGGAGCTAAGCATCGAAGCCATTGCTTTGTGTAGATTTTCAGTTAATGATTTAGTTGGAGCTGCAGAAATGCATAAAAAAGGAAAGTGAAAGATTTTATGTAAGAAATGGATGGCACAGAAACAATTATGGTTGAAATGGATGAGCCAATGAGAAGGCTGCAAAGGATTTCCAACTCATTTCCTCGTTATCCACAATACACATTCATTCTATTACTGAATATTCGAATGAAAAATAAAATATTCATTTTGTATCTTATTAAGGATTTGACATTTGGACGGTCCAGATTTTATGTTCTTAAAGCTTTGCCTTTTGGACAGTCGAGGCTTCGAAGGATATTGACTAGAAACAGATCAGAAAAACAGAAACTCATTCGGGTGGTCGAGAGTTTTCGTCACCTCGTCTTTTTGTTTGAGCACTAATGTGCATCTAACTGTTTAATTGTCTATGCAAAAATTGTTTCAATTCGAAAAGAATCATGATTTTCATTTTTTTAAATAGTCCAATAATAAAATCTTGGGTAAAGTATAGTAATGGTCACTGAACATTTCCGAAGCTTGCATTTAGGTCCCCCAACTTTTAAAACTTACAATACAGTCCCCCAACATTTATTCCGTTTGCAATATGGTCCTCCAACTTAAACCACCGTTAGAAATTAGGGTAAATTATATAAAAGGTTATTGAACTTTTCAGACACTTGAATTTAGGTCCCCCAACTTTTAAAACTTGCAAAACAGTCCTCAATTTCATTCTAAACCCCAATTTCCAAAGTAATTCAATTTCATTCTAAACCCTAAATTCCAAAATAATTCAATTAAATTCAATTATGTCAGATTTATTATTATTTAATTTCATCTTATTTCATGTGATACGTATTTTTTATATAAATATAATAGTATAATTCTTATCTGTTGAAGAAATTTTTTAATTAAAAAAAGTAGTTAGGATATAGAAGAGGTTGAAAATAATTCGAATTTTAAATTTATAAAATGTTATTTTGACGTATAAATAAAAGTGTAAACTACTAGGTTGACAACTTAACTATCTAGCCCTTTTTACTTTTGTCATCGATCTTTTAAATTTATCAATCATACAACATAATTATTTAACTGTTTCAACTAAGCCACTAGTCGTTGCCAATTGATACAAATGATGAAGTGGCAGTTAAAAGGAATTGACATTATTATACATTTAGTCTTTATTATTTATATAATCAATTTGGTCCTAAATTAAATAGAATTTAATAAATTAATCATTTAATTAGGATCTGACATGTGTTAGCACATGATCATGACACGTGTCATTGATGACACATGTCACCACCTAATTATTTATATATGCTATCAATTTGGTCCTAAATTAAATAAAATTTAATAAATTAATCATTTAACCAGGATCTGACATGTGTTAACACATGATCATGATATATGTTATTGGTGACACATGTCACCACCTAATTAGAAGAAAATTAAGTTACAAAGAAGTAAAATTTGGGTCTTGAGCAAACTCAAACCTGAGTCACGCAAATGAAAGATACAGGGTGGAGCCACTAAGCTAACACCATCGTTTGTGTTAAGAGATATACAATAATACATATACTAATAGTATGACCAATGCCAGAAAAAAAGAATATAATGGAAAATGGAAATAATGAGATTTGAACTTCGGTAAAAAATTTGAAAGCAATAAATGATGGGAAAATATTATATTTTTTTACAATAAAAATATTATATTTGATAAATTGTTTGATAGATTTAATATATTTTTTAATATTAGTTGATACAATATTTTAAAAGAATAAATTTAAGATTTATATATTTTTAAACTAAATTTAATAATTATATTTTTCATATTTATAATTCATGATTATATATATAATCTTAAGTTGAGTATTTCTAATATAATTAATAATTTTAATTTCTTATTAAAAATAAAATATTCAAAAAATATAAATGATTCATACATTAATATATGAATATATTTTTTTATTTATACATCTAAATATAAATACATTTATATAAATATATTTTATTCGTATATTGAAATATTTTGATTAAAATATAAACATATTTTAAATACTAGTTTATACAAGAAAAATAAAATATATCAAAAATATAAATGATTCATACATTTAAATATAAATTGAATCATTTATATTTTCTATACATCTATATTTAATAAGAAAATAAAATTATTGGGGGACTGTTTTGCAAGTTTTAAAAGTTGGGGACCTAAATTCAAGTGCCTGAAAAGTTCAATGACCGTTTATATAATTTACCCTAATTTTCTAACAGTGATTTAAGTTGGGGGACCATATTGCAAACGAAATAAATGTTGGGAGATTGTATTGCAAGTTTTAAAAGTTGGGGGACCTAAATGCAAGCTTCAGAAATGTTCAGTGACCATTACTATACTTTACCCTAAAATCTTTTAATTACTAAATATAAGTTGATGATTAACAATCGGTTAGTCCAATGAGATGAAATATAAATTCTCTTAAATAATCATCTATAATTCAAATTTTAATGTTGTGAATGAAATAAATTACATTATAAGAATGTAGTAAATGTACGACAACTTAGTTTCGTACCAAGTACTAAATACGTCCCCAACATGGCTACAAAACGGATATAGTTTGATACGTACTGAGACATCCCATATTTAAGGTGTACAATTGAAATTTATTGAGTACGTTGAAGAGATTTTCAGAATATATCGGGGAGGATATTTGATCTTCATGCGTGTACTCAAGATTATTTTTAAGATTTAAATAATAAAAAAGGGATATAGATGAATTATGATATGATTTTATTTTTTAATTAAGATATAAATTAACATTTAATTTCTCTTAAAAAGAATTATTCTTCTGATATAAAAAATTGGGGAACTACCTTTGGTATCAAACTCCATTGCTCTAATTCTTTACTTTCAAAATGCTTGGACAACTGAATTCATCATCTTGATGTGATAGAAAGCAGAGTACTTATTTTTATCGTGTACTCATTTGTCAGTTTGGTATAGCTTTAAATAGAAGACTTTTAAAGATGTAGAAACAAATTTTTTAAAGTTATGTATAAAAGTGTAGTTTAAAATTTAATTATTTGAGATTGATATTAAAAGGTGAGTTTGAAAAGATAAAATGTCAATTATAGATATTATATTGTAAATTAAAAACATAACATTTAAAATTATATTTACATTTATACAGAACCGGTCTTGACTATTTTTTCTCGGGCGAAATAAAAGAAATGGACCCCTAATTAAAAAAAACTAAAACAATATAATATAAATTTTATATTATTTTTTATTAAAATAAACAAATAGTAATTCATTATGATCTAAAAAATGTTCAAAACATATTAAGCATACACAAACTTATAAAAAATATTGTCTTCGAACATTTTTTATACAAAATCATTGATGATAGTGTCAACATCAATGCTTTGTAACATATGTTTTTCAATACATAGCATAGTTACCCCATTCAATGTTTCTTGTGACATTGTTGACCTCAAGTATTTTTTCAATAATTTCAACTTTAAAAAACTCTTTTTTCCGGATGCTACCATCACCGACATTGCTAATAGGATTGAGTAAGCAATTGAAACATTAGGTAGCATTTTGCAGCTTTAACAAACTTAATAATTTCAAGCACTGACATGAACACATTTGGCATAGTCAATTGCAACACTTTCATTTCAAAAAAAATCATTTGTATCAACATCCAACATATTACGAGAAAAAATAATCTTAAAATTATTGCAACATTCTCCTAATTTATTATCATCCAGTGACTTCAACCTCATAGAATCAAATAAAAATCCAAAACAATTTTCAAAAACCTTTAACTGATCGAATCTATCTTTTAAAGAAGCAATCGTCATATCAACAACAACAACAAAAATAATTAACTCTAAAAGACTCCTCTACTTATTGCATTTCTTCATCATTATTATTCTCATTCTCATCAAATTGTCTTTTTCTAATAATACGCCATTTAGTTGGAAAAATCAGCTCTATGTTCATATCCAATGCAAGACTTTTGGCAATATTTATACTAGCTTCGAACCCAATGTTCCTATAGTTTTCAAAATATGACATTACACCTTCCAACTCCTTTATTGTAGTATCAATGCACATTGATATAGATTGTAATTTCTTACTCACCATATTGATAGCAAATAAAATATCATACAAGATAACCATTCCAAGTAAGAATTCAAAGCATTCAAGGGCACTAGCCAAACTTTCTGCTTCCTTTTTGCTTTAGCATCATTACCACAAAATTCATATAATTGTAACAAAGCTAATTTTATTTTAGGAGCATTGCATTTAATAACTTTGAAACTTTTAATTCGATTTTTCCATCGAGTACCAGATAAAGATTTCATAGTTTCTAGAACATTATCACATAAAAATTTTCGCCTTTTGGTAGAACTTGTGAACAATGAACATATATGTTGTACAATCCCAAAAAATAATGAAATATCTTTGACACAAGAATGTGTCATATCAGAAAGAGAAATATTAAGATTATAGCAAGCACATGACATATATAAAGCTTTAGGATTTATTTCAAGCAATATCTTTTGAATTCCTTGGTGTTTTCCTTTCATATTAGAGCCATTATCATATCATTGGCCCCTCATATCATCAACATTCAACTCAAGAGATTGTAATGTATTTACTAATTCATTAAAAAGTCCTAATCCAAATGTATCATCCACTTTCAAGAACTCTAAAAAGTATTCCTCTATTTTTATTTTGTTGTTTGTCATCTTTACGCATCACACTATTAGAGTTATTTGTTCTTGATGACTTACATAAGGGGTACAACCAAGAATAGAAGAGAAATACTTTGCCTCTTGAATTATCTTTAGAATAGAAGTTCTAATACTATGAGCAAAAAAAGATTAGTTCATTTTGAATTTTATGATCAATATAATGATAATGAATATTTTCATTTTGAATACGTCTAATATGGTCTTGCATAGGCAAATCAAATTTGTTAATCATTTCAATTAACCCCAAAAAAATTTCATTACTCTCATCATAGATTTTCTCACTAGATCCTC